GTTTGGAAAAGGAGCTCATGCACCCAGTGAATTCTGAACTGATCACTTTGAAGACACTGATCTGCAGTTCCTTCCAGTTATTAGTCCCTTCCAGTTATTATTCTCACAATGTGCATCCAAATAAGGGAATCTTAAAAAATGTTTGCTTTTAGGAGTTGTTTTACTTTGAATATAGAATAGTCTTATGCTTGCAGAATTCAATTCTACAAAAGCATGAAACAAAAGTTTGAGAAACCATAGGTCAAAAGATGCAAAAGTGTGTAATTTTGGGTATTTAAAAAGTGAGAAACTATGAAAAAAGTTGTGCATTTTGAAATCAGTACCTTCTTTTCGGCAGCTTTGCTCTTACAGGGACAGAGGTTGTCCTTACAATAGTAAGTAATCTTCAGGGTTTAGCCTGTGCCTAAACCATTGGACCTATACAGAACAGAGGAAGACACAAAGCATGACTCTGCCTTCCTTAATCAAAGTTATGTACTTGTTACCCAATGTTTTCTTGGTCATGCTAAAAAAATACAATAGAAGAATATGGCCATGACAAACATTATTGAAGTGGATAAGGAGAGGAGGAGAGTACATACTATCTCATCTAAAAAGATTGCACCTTCAAACACAAGACACTCCAACAGCATGGTTACCTTCTGACATTATTACAGCTTCCAGGACAGCTGCAGCATCCCAGATAGTCCACATTGTCCTAATAATCATCACTTTTTGGTCCTATGTATAATGATCACTTAGTATCAAGTATCTACAAATTAGTTCCAGATACAGAAAGAACTAATCTACTTTTCAACTACCCTAGAGAAGTTAGTCACTTATGCTCTGCAACGTAGAGTATACTTCAGTTTAGTTTCATTTAGACAAAATTAAGAGGTATATTTAGCTTTATTTTTCAATTTTGCAAAGGCACAATGTATTTTTAAGTGGAAGGTGCAATTTAGTGTTGAAAAGTCGTGCTTCTGTATCACCTTCAGGGGAAGTACAAGTAAAACTAAACAAAGTAATAAGCCAAATACCAATATTGAAATATAAGCATCAGAGAAACAAGTGTCTTAAAAAGAACTGGAAACTAATGAGGGAGAGCAGCAGAAAAAGAAGACTTATCCCAAGATTACTCTATAATAAAAATACTACCAATTCCAGCATAGCAATATTCACTTTTTCCTATTTTCTTAGGCAGAAGATTTATATATCTCTTAAATCAGCATCCTTACTTTCAAATCTTAACTTCTATAAGGTTTTACTCACAATACATGAAAATAGTAGTATTAATTACAAATGAAGGCTGTATTTCAGTACTTTTTTATAACAAAACATGCTTCAAAAAACCCATACTCATTTTGTCATTGAAGTAGTCAGCTTCCTCTATATATCACCTGTCCCCTTCTAAACTTAATAGAATTGCTTAACAAGTAATTATGACTAACGTACACTAGTCAGTGTTATTTAGGTCCACTAACTTTTACCAGTATTTACTCAGCAGGAGACAAGCACGCCAACTGAGATGATACAGTGGGCTCTGCATGCCATCTTCACAGTTGGAAACTGCAGTGGCACACTGCAGGTTCTCCCCAAGAGATTAAGAGAACTATAAGGACTGTGGGAAATCTATGTCTGAAGCTTTCGGAAGCCCCCATCCCACCAAAGAAAAGAACTTCTAGTCCAGAACTGGACCAGAGTCTGACATGTGAGTAGCCACAGAACTGTTCACAAGTTACCCAGAACATTAAGATATTCCCTATGCATTCGAAACATAGAGCATAACTCTCAAAAATCAATTAAACTTATAGAAGTTGTAGAGGACGCAACCTACATCTCACAAATATGCACTGGACTTCAGAGATGTTCCAAAGACACTAAGGTAGCAGTGTAAGAGGTTACCACAAACATTGTACTTTCTAAACATGGGGTGGGGGCAGCTATATACTGGCTAAACTGATAAACACATTACCGCCAACATTTTCAATCCGATATGAAAAGTGTTGTCTGACCTATTGTTTTACTTACTTAAAGGTTGATAAGGTAAAAGAGCAACGTTTCCTAATCTTCGGTTACTAGATTATTTACATTTAACTATCTATATCAACTGTCAACATCAACATTTTCATGCTCACACAGGAATAAAGACTATTATTTTCATATCCATAAGAGTAGCTTTTCCATCAACTCAACCAGTTACTCATTCAGAAAAGGTTAGATTTGTAATCCTCTGTGTGGAATAAATGTCAGACCCTTCTTTAGCAGATCAGGTTATTCCATAAGGAGAATCTGCTGAAGAGATGACATATCAACCATTTGATCTTGCTGTAACATTTTCCCTAGAAGATTTTCCTTTTTTTTTGCTTGCGAGCAGGAAGGACAAAAACAAAACAAGAAAACAAAGCAGACAGCCAGTGATTCATTATACCCTTACAGGAAAGCAGAGTTGACGGATTTACTTCCATCCCCATCTATTTCTAGAACCTACTGCCAACATGCTATGTATTATGTATGTTACATATGTGCAAGCCTTTCCTTAGCTTTGATGTTCCAAGCATGGCTCTTTATGCCTGGGACTACAGACTCTGAACAAATTCCACTGAGGACAAATCATAACACTGTTTTCATACCACCAGCTTAATACACTAGGCAACTTTCAATCAATAATACTTTCTCCATGGAGACCCCTCACCTATTCTATATGAGCAATGTGCAAATGGATATGCTGTAGTGCACTATTTATATCACATATTATTTACTGGGCAGCTTGTTCATTAAACAAATATATTCACATTTTTACTAATATGATAGCAATCCTAATGATAATCACATTCCATAGTATGCCGTATGCTGTAACTTCTAGCTCTGACTGCAAGCCTACCTACTTAAACTTACTGATGTTTACTTGAGCTTAATTTAATTCATGAGCAAGGAACAGCCAGGTCAAAAGAATGTTTCCCCAAACCAATGACACATTGTTGTTTCCTGCGATGTGAGCTACTATGTGTATACTTAAACCATTTTATTTATATGAATATCAATGGCAGACTGATTTTTAGTTGAGATGGTTGATCTCAAGAAAAAATACACCTCATAACTCCTAAACTATGCTAATGACATGAATGGCATTCTATGATGTAACCATTAACTGTAATCAGTACTGGATTACACTTTCATCATTAAAAAGGGCCTTATCCATAGCTACCATGGTGACAAAACACTAGCGTAAAAAGTTGTGGCTCCACTACAAGGATCTATTCTTCTACATGGCATTGAAAAATATCAAGTGCATCATGAGAAATACAAAAGGTCTGAAAAGAAACAAAATTGCATCCATTATGAACACAGTGGTTTACAACTAAATTTGACAGGCATTGCTACAATTCCCCACCCCCTACACCCCCCCAAGAATCTCAAATCATTATTGGGACTGAAACACTGCTTTGGAAAGGGATCGTTCTTTGTAAAAGGATTACTCTATTTAGACTTCATTGCTTTTCTGCCAAGCATCAGCCGTATAAGGAAACTGAAGTTCACTGTCATTTATTTTGTTCACTCCCTTCTGATGCCTATGAATAATCCTTACTGCTGCCTGGAAAGGTAAGTCTACAAATTGCAAGCCAAATCCTTTACTTGTTACCCCTTCGGGTTACTTAAATGTTAACATTTTTCCTCATGGTGTATCAAACAGAGTTGGATTAGTAACTTTTTCCTCAAACACTACATTAGTTAATGCTGTTAAAGAATTACATATGTAGGAGTGTTAAAAATTTTGCACAGAAATTGCTTTGTCCAAGCCCCACAAATACCAACACATCTCAGACACCTGAGAGACTGAAACACAGACATCCTCTCTGACCAACATGGTGCTTTTGAGTTTGACAAACAGGAACAAACATTTCAATAAGCTAGCACAGAGCTATGGCTTCTAGCTCACTTTAAACATCCACAATATGAGAAATTCCTTGCCTTCACTAAAGAACTAACCAATAATTGCCTCTTTGAGGCATGTGAAATGAATGTGTGGTGAGCAATATTGCTTTCACTACATGCAACTAGTTAGTTGGCAGAACTTAACCAGCACCAGCAGTACAAAACATAACACTAAAACTTCACATTTAGTTTCCCCTCCAATAGCTTCAAATGGGACTCCTTTAAAAAATTATAAAAGAGAAAGTAGTTATCAAAACCAAAGAAGGCTACGTTAACTCAGATTCAACTGCACATACTTTTAAGAAGTCACACCACTAGCTAATTATTTCTTTTTTTTAATGGTGGTTCTTAGATGAACTTCACAAGGATCAAAATGCAATACATGCCTCTCCTATACAAGCTGAAAAATATGCAGTCCAACTCGTCATCTTGAGGATACAGAGGGGGCGGAGGAGAGGAAGAGAGGTGGTGGCAGCAGTCGAGGGGAAAAACTGCGACAGTATTTACAGAAGACTACGGAGACATGTTTTTATAAAAAAATTTAACAGCTACCTTGAAGGAGTTGGACCTAACCGATATTCCAGAAAACAAGGTGAAAGACAAACAAGAAATAGCAGACATAGGCAGCGTCAAGCATGAAGATCATTCGATTAAATAAAAGATACTACCTCCTTTAGGACTCTTATTTCCCGAGATGTTAATTAAACTCGCAGGGTTAGCAATCGTTTTGGAAGGGAAGGAGCTGAAGCAGCGGAGTCACGGAGTTGAGCAGTTTCAGTTCAACACCTTCTCCGACCGAACAAAGAAACTTCTGTGTCTGAGGAGCTTAAAAACTTTCGGTCTACCCGGACTCTTTCCTCAGCCTCCATGAAACCCCGTTCATACAAACAGAATTTCGGCAAGAGAGGGAGAAACACACTGGACAGCTAAACTGTGCAAGGCGGAAAACACAGAAAAATAAAGGCCAAAACCAGGACATCAAAATGAAGCTTGAACTCCTTCCTTTTTCCCCACCCCCTTCAGCAGTGGAAGGATTTTTCTGTTGTTACCGCTGCTGCTCCCCAAGCCTCCTCCATTTAATTTACCTCGTCCGTCGGGCGTCTAAGCCAGATCTAGCAGGCAGGAGTTTCTTCCGACCCCAAGGAAATATATTAAATCCAATCGAGTTTTCTTCTCGTTAAGGGGGAAGGAGGGCAGAGAAGGCGGGGGGAGGGAGCAGATGCAACAGCTTTCGACAGGGGCGTTCGCGGAGCGGAGCGTGCGACGTGCGTGTGCACGGGGGGAGGGCGGCAGCGGGGCCGGGCTCTGCCCGGGCCCTGCCCGCGGCGGCGCCGGGCTCTGCCCCGCGGGCGGCCCCGACCCGACCCGCGCCGCGCCCCGCCCGGCGCCGCGACCGCCCGGCAGGAACGACGCCCGGCGGCCAGACCGCAGCGCCCGCCGCCGCCCCCCCGCGCCGGCCCGGACCGGCACCGCCCGCCCGCCCCGCCGCCGCCGCCGCCTCCCCGGCGCGCTGGCCGCCGCCGCCCCGCCCCCAGCTCCCCACCCGCGGCCTCAATTCCACGCACCGCGCCCCCCCCCCCCCCCCCCGCTTCGCCGCCGCCGCCAAGGGCGGGAGGGGAGCGGGATGGCCGCCTGCCTCACCTGCCCGCCCGCCGCCGCCCTCTCTCCCCGCCTCCTTCCGCACACTTCCCCCTTCTCCCGCCGCCTCAGCCGCCCGCCCCTTCTCCCCAGCCTCGGCAGCCGGGAACTCGGGGCTCGCCGTGGAGCGGGGGAATATCTCGGGGGGGGGGGGGTGGGGGAGGGGGGGGGCGTTAACAAGGAGGGGGAGGCCGCCGCGCCCCTGCGGCTGCCGGCGCCGCGAACCACCGCCCCGGCCGGGGGAGGTACTGCAGCGGGGGCGGGGCGGGGCGGGAGCCGGGCCGGGGCCGGGACCGGGGCCAGGCGGAGGCGGCGATCGCGCCCCCCCACACACACACTGGCCGTGACGGGAGGGGGAAGGGGGCGGGCGAGCGCCGCTGCCGGGCCCCGCTGGTCTCCCCTCACACACCCCAACCCCCTCCACCGGTGTGGGGCTGAGCGCGGGAGGCCGCGGTGCAGCCAATCCCGAGCCACGGGTGTCGTTGAGGAACGGGCCACCGTAGCCAATGGCGCCCGGCGGGGGGCGGGAGCGGGCTGCAGAGGAATGGGGCGGGGCGGGGCGGGGCGGGGCGGGGCGGGAGGGAGCGGGAGTGAGAGTGAGAGTGAGAGTGAGAGCGGGAGCGCGCGCCGCGGAAGGGGCCCGTGTCCCGCGGGCGCGGAGCGGCCCCTCCGGCCCGTGTCCGGCGTGCGGCCCGCGCCGGCGGCGGGGATGGGGCCTGTCCGCGGGCCGGGCGGCGGCGGGGGCCCCTCTGGCCCCGTCACCCCGGCCCGGTCACCCCGCGGGACCCTGCGCGCGGGTTGCGGGCGTCGCCGGTTTTCCCCCGCGGTTTTGGCTCAGTTTTTCCTTCTGCAGGGGCGCGTCGGTTGCCCCGGCAAGTTAAATCCCCGACGACAAGCGTTTCCTCGGGCTCAAGCAGCTCGGCTTCCTGGTTTAATAACTGCACGTGTTGTACCCAGGCTGCTGAAGCGGTCGGTTACGTGCGCCTCGCACTCCCCGGCCCCCCGGTACCAGGGTCTGTGGGAGCAAACTCATCTGGGGGCAGAACTAACCACCCCACCCAAACATGGTGTTTGGATACCTTATATTAAACCTTGCTGCAAACAACAACAATCAAAACAATGCTATAGAGAGAGTCACACCGCCTCACGTAAACCCCAGAGTACGGCCGTGTTTTCAAGTATTTCAACACCCTCGGTACAATATGACGTTAATGAAAATGAAATGACGTAATGAAAATGTAACATAGTCATGTACAACTATGTTTGACAAGCAGCCAGTAGGTTTACTGTAGGTCGCACGAGTTCACTGTTGGTGTGTGCCGGATCTCAACAGTACATCGGTGGAAATGTTTTTTCTGTTCAATTTCCTTGACTGCAATGGGTATTTGATAACCCAGTGTGTACGCAATATGCCGTTTTAACCATCCTGGACACACAGCACACAAAGCTGACAGCAGGGTGGACGTGTACATGCTGCTCACCTTATGCTCCTTAATTGTGTTCTGCAGGGACCACATCTAAGGACAGAGGTAGTTTTATTTTCACGCCCATTTAATCCCTGGCTGCTTGACTGGGACATCCACCAACTAAGATGGGCTAGTGTTTCACTGTGATAATCTGTTTACCGAGAAATGGACAAAATGCTAAAAAATGCCATTTTACATGAGCCACTGAACAGCAAAGGAAAATAGTATGTCAGGTTAATATCAACCTGTCCCGATTTTAGCATGCAACTAGATGTGAAAACTCCTTTAAATCCTCTCCAGTCCCTGGAAGTAGCTCCAGTTGATATTTCCTGTTCAGGATCATTAGTTGCTTCATCCTGTTTCTTTGGATGAAGAAGGTTCAATGTTTAGCAACCAAACAAACGTTTGATCATGTTTGTAAGAGTCCACTATGATTAACAATCAGCTATTTATTTCAAACTTCTTGTCAGTGTATGGGACTTGTATGTTCACTTATTCAGTCTGTATCCAGATACAGAAAATAACCATGCATTTTGTCCAGAGTAGTAATATTTGCTTATGGTTTCTTTACTTCTGTACAATTCCTCTCTCCGTCTTTACAGAGTGCACAGTCCTCTTTGGGGACTATGCCTAGATTTAAATAATTAAACTAAATTAAATATAATCATCAGAGTTTGGGGAAAGTAAAATTACATACATATATATATTTCCCAAAACATTAAATCACTTCCATTTCTTCTTGTTCAGATAAGCTACTTTTTTAAAATGAGTCAGCTTTGTACTAAGGCCAAGTGTGAAAACTTCCCCCGCACTGACAACAGATTCAGAATTTCTCACAACAGTGCACTACACTGGTGCTATGATAAAATTACTACTTCTCAAATCTCATGCAAACATTTGATCATTTCTGTTTAGCAGCCAATAATGTATCCTTATAATTAATATGAATGGCTCTCTTTAACTGATGTCCTCCATCGTGAACTCTTCAAGGCACCTCTTTTATGTGTGAATTATCATAAGTTTTTAAATGTGAAAATGTTCTTTGGCAATGCTTACTGCAAATTGCCCAATTCATTTGGTAATGCAACAGGGTAATAGGAAGGCGTGGGAAATTCATAGCAACTGTTGCTCTCATGGTGAATCTACGGTAGTTGTAACATTAGTTTCAGTGTAAGATACTATTTCACTCACAGTTTTAGCCATCAAAAACAAAAGCCTAGCCAAAGTCTGCTGAAGCTACAGCTAGCTAGACCACGGCTCCCCAAAGACGTTTTACACAGACAAGGTACAACTATCTATACAAATTAAGAAAATACCAGGAGTTATCCCAGGTATTTAAAAGCGCTATAAATATCAAGACAGTACTTAGATTACAGCTTCAACAGAGTCCCCAGCAACATTAATTCCCACAGTTGGTATCCCAGTTACCAAATAATTACAGATTAAGTGCACAAAGTACAAAATATAGAGTTACATAATAAGTCTTTCAAGTGTGACTATGCAACTGATGCCACTGAAAGTTTAAACAAATTCTTGACGTGCAATTTCGCAATAGACACAAAGCCCAAACCCCTCTCATTCAAATTTCTATTTTTATATTTGAACAGGAACACTAGTAAATACTGCAGCAGCATGCAGCTAAACCGAAAGAACAGTTGGTGAAACAGTCATTTCTATGTTTGTCCCTTTCAAGAGTTCAATGGTCTGAACAATGTATACATAGTTTTTCAGAGTAACAGGGTTTTATTGCAGCTTTTCCCTATTCTTACTACTGTTGTTTGTTACACTCATCCTCTTCCACTTCTCCAGGAGCTAGACTGAAAGTCCTCCAGGGCAAGCGCTTCTGCTTATTAAGTGCTCAGGTAGGAACCTGAATGGTGGAATTTAACTTGATTTTAATTGCAACTTCTGGACATCATTGCAATGTAAATATTAAATAATAATTACTGGAAGTAATATCTTCCTGAAAGACATAAAGAGACAATAAGTAATCTTTTCTTTAACAAGTATATATTGAAGTTTATTTTAGATACCACATAATTTAAATTTTCACAAGCTCCATTCAAAATGTCTTACTGTAACATTGCCTGAATTGATCTGGTTCACAACTAGACCACATTTATGCCGGTGTGTATGTTTCAGTGGCAATTAAGTCACAGAAGTATATTGCTATGACTTCCTAAATGCATAATGCCTACCTCCTATATTTAAAGACAAGCTAAGCAAACAATCTCTGTTCACTCTAACTTTGATGCGATCCCAAATTTACACTGGTTAAATATTGTGTTATGGCAAACAAAGAACTGTTCTCTGTATTTGGTTGTATTATTTTTCAAATATTAGAATCAGACAGAGCGATTAACATAAACATATTGTGTGACTAAGTTTTGGAGAATTGTGCAAGTACCAGTAGAAAACCTTTCTAACACCACAACCTATTTTGTATATGCTATGTTCCAGAAATGGTTAGGAATGTTTTAGAGTTATTTTTAAACATTTTATTGTGACTTTTTGTTTGTATTTCTCTTTCTTGGTTACCATGGGTAAGCTCCTGAATTCTGACTGAGGAACATTTGGCATGGCATTTCACATGAGGAGGAAAGACAAAAAGGTGGTGTTAAGGCACCTTTCGTCTTCCCTGATTCGGACTGCTTTGCTCCTGGACAGGCTCCTTAACACTGACTTTAGGCTGTGCTGCAGAGTCTGTTTTGACAGCTAATGCCCCCCCACAAATCTTGTGCTTGTCAAAACAAACAGAAAGGAATGAAAATGCAGCCGTGCTGTGTGAGTGCAGGGACATCTGCATATCGTAACCATCAGTCCTTTGCTCGCAAGTTCCTGCTGAGCTGTTTCTGGCCACATTGTGGGAAAGAGTTAAACACGAAGTTGGCAGAAGGAGTCAACTATAAAGTTGCCTAAAATAAGCCATTTCCTCAGTATTTTGCCTATGCCTTGACGATGGTTTTTGGGCTGTCTTTGTTAAGATTATTTGATCCAAAAAAGGGTAACAATGAATGCTGCTGAGGATATTTGTGTCCAAAAAGCAACCCTAAAAGAATACTGTACTTGAATAACTGTTCTATAAGAAATCAGTTACACTAGCTCTATAGTAGCTCTGTAGTGGTTATACTGCTCTTCCAAGGTCAGTAATTAGTGCTGCATCCTGTAGGAAAACTATCACTCCTCTCTCCCTTCACTTGTAGGAAAGAAAAATTTCTGTGGAAAGTTTGTTTATTAAT